TTTGATTATCAATATCTTTCCTCATGCCAAAAATTATTCAAAGCGGACAAAATGTGTTAACGAAATGAGTTACATCTTTTGAAGATTTGCAAATTAAATATTTTTAGCAAAAGGATTTTAGTGGGTATTATAAAGAATTTTTATTAAAACGAATCTCATTTTCCACGTCAGCTACAAATGCTAATATACACACAGACGCACTGATATCTTATTTTAAGTATTCCTATTTTCATTAGTTTAGTTTCGTCCGGATGAACGCTGAGATCTCGGAAACTATGGGAGCTAGGCTATTAAGATTTGGCATGCAGATTCCTGAGCTTCTTACGCAGCGCAAGTTTGTTTTAGCAGCGTGCCACGCCCACTCTAACGCCCACAAGCCGCCCAAATCAGTGGTGCCCAAAATTTTTATGCCAGATAAAAAATTTTAACTGAAATATATTAGTCTTGTAAATACCTATCGATTGATCCAAAAAAAAATTTGCCACGTCCACTCTAACGCCCACAAACCGCCTAAGCCTACAATTTTCATGCTAGAAAAATATGTTAACTGAAATGTTTTAGTCTCGGCAATACCTATCGATTGACCCCAAAAAAAGTTTACACGCCTACCTAACCATATATTAAGGTGGCGCATTTCATTGTCGCTTTACTGCTTGCAACTTAACCCACACTTTTTAAACAATTGTAATCTCTCTTTTAGCGATCACGCCAGGTACTTGGGGTTAGTACTAGATAAACGCCTCAAATGGGGCTTAAACAACCAAGAGAGAACCAAAAAAGCGACCATTGCACTTTACTCCTGTAAAAAAGTAATCGGGCTAAGATGGGGCATGTCCCCAAGAATAGTTAACTGGATATACACAGCGGTAGTCAAGCCAATCCTACTGTACGGAGTGGCTCTGTGGTGGACCGCCTTGCACAAACAATGCATACTGACTCCTCTAAACAAAGTACAGCGAATGGCGGCTTTGTGTATTAGTGGAGCCCTTTGAACCACCCCGAATGAAGCGCTGAATGCGATCTTGAACCTCCCTAGCCTGGACTTAGCAGGCATGGAAAGGGTCAAACTCAGCCGCACAGAGTGTGGCATGTTAATTCGAGCTCTTACAGGCCACTGGCGCACATGCCGGCAGGCTAAAAGCCCCGCAAAATGATTTCTGCAGAAGCTGTAGGGATGAGGAAGAAGTGGAAACGGTAGAACACCTTCTCTGCTTCTGCCCGGCCCTATGCAGACTCAGACTGAAACACTTAAGAAGCCCCTTCATCGACGATCTTACCGAAATATCGGAGATTAATCTCAAAAGCATAAGTGCCTTTATTAAATCTTCCGGGTGGAAGACATGCTGATCAGCTTAACACAGGCTGAAACTACTGAAAGTTTAGAGAAGGAAAAACGAGATCATGCGGTATCACAATGAACCCATTGAGGTCTAAGTGTGTCGGACTATAGTCCGACAGCCGCCCTAACCTAACCTACTGCTTGCATATCTCCATTTCCCTTTGGTCCCTTTAGGTGAGTAAGGGGTGTCTGGTAGTCGAGGTACTCGACTATAGCGTTCTCCCTTGTTTTCTTTTAAGAACACCATAATTCAGTCTTTCTTTTTTGTTATTATCCATATTTGTTAAAATATTCAAGTACCTAACAGGCAAAAAACAGCTAAATTATTTAAAAGTAAATAAATAAAACTTTTTTATATAAGTTTTTTCTCAATGTTGTGTTTTTATTAGTGTTTTTCGATTTTATACGTGCAGGTCGTATGCACAGCTATTTCAATGAACACAGCTGTACTTTATGGGGTCGGAAACGTCTCCTTCACTGCGTTGCCAACTTCTGACTGAAATTATTATACCCTCTGCAAGGGTATACAAATTTAAAACAGAAAAAGGACAGAAGAAAATCGCCTATTGTACAAGTTTATACTTAGCAAGCGCCTTCGAATTATTTCCGATTTTATATTTTTTGGATTTTTATGTCGAGCCGTTTCTGCTGCAGGAGCTACTTGGAATTTTATTTTTTTGAATTTTTAACTCTTGATAGCATTATAAAACTTTTGAGTGCTAAGAGATGTTTGACCATTCCCCAAAGGAATTCGTGGATTATTTAACCTACACTGGTGGAAAAAATAATAGAAACGATTTTCACTTCTGCACTTCTTATTAAATAGCAAAGTAAGTACGAAAGTTCTGGGCTTCATACCAATAACATGTGAAGCACTGATAACTGTTCTTTATTTTGTGTTACACCTTGAGCCCCATTCGCCGTTATTATGTGCTGTGTGCATAATTTTTGAGGGCAAGCACATGTTTGGCCTGGAAAAAAAAATAGAAACACTACTTATTTCAACCGAAATTTCGGCTTAGACTCTTTGTATTTCGAACTTTTTGGTTTAGTTTTAGTACTTTAAGGTAAGTTTAACAAAAAGTTTCGAACATGGTGAAAATCCGTTTATAATTACGACTTCTAGGCTCAGAATGGGTCGAGGAGTGCACTGCACGGCTCCAGAAAGGCAGATAATAAAAAAACTGAGTGATGAAGGCAAATCAATGACTGAAATAGCTGAACTAATGAATTGCTCAAAGAAAAAAGTGTTTTCCGCTGTTCATTACATCGATAAAAAAGAGAACCGAGGTAGAAAGCGAGCCACAACCAAAAGGTTTGACGACATTTTGGCTCGAACAGTAAAAAAGGACCCATTCCTTACAGCCAAGGAACTCAAAAATACCTTAGGGGCAGCAGTTACAGCTCGGACAATTAGAAACAGGTTAATTGAACAAGATCTGAGAGCATGTTCAGCCAGGAAGGTTCCATCTCTGAGCCAAAAAAAATATGAAAAATAGACTGATTTTTGCAAAACGACACCAGAACCGCCAAAACTGGAACAATGTTCTCTGGTCCGATGAAACTAAAATAAATATGTGTGGATCAGATGGGAAAATATATGTGAGACACCCAAAGAACACTGCTTTCGATCCTAAGCATACGATTAAGACTGTTAAGCATGGTGGAGGGAATATAATGCTATGGGGATGCTTTTCATCTTCTGGAGTTGGTCGTATATTTTGGACTAAGGAAAGGATGTTTGCTGAGGACTACCGTAGGATACTTGAGAGCACAATGCTTCCATATGCCGATGAGGAAATGCCGCTTAAATGGGAGTTCATGCAAGACAATGACCCAAAGCATAAAGCAAAAATTTTACAAAAATGGTTCCAGGACCAAAAAATATCTGTAATGGACTGGCCAGCTCAATCGCCGGATCTAAATCCGATCGAGCATTTATGGGGACACCTTAAAAGACGAATTGGAAACTTCAAAGCGCCAAATAAGGAAGCATTGTGGCAGAAAGTTCAAAGCGAGTGGTACGCCATTTCTCCTTCAACTTGTGCCAATCTTGTACACTCTATGCCTCGCCGATGCCTTGCAGTATTGCAATGTAAAGGGAATACTACTAAATATTAGATGAGGAGCCATTATGGCTTAAAAAAATGATGTTTTTGAAGTTTCAACGTTTTGTTTCTATTATTTTTTCCAAGAAAAACCCAAAAATTAATTCTTTAAGTCCACACGTGATTTATAAAAATCTTTTTGTTCCTTATTATAAAACATACATAAGTATTTGTTAAAAAAAAAATATATATGAGATATATCTACTTTATTTTTTATGAAATAAAAAAAAAATACTAAAGCGATAAAGCCGTTTCTATTATTTTTTCCACCAGTGTAAGTCGTTTTTATGTTTAAGACATTTTTACCTTAGCAATCCACGGTGGCAATCCTATTCTTTCGTAAGTAAAATTATGATTGCATATTCAGACTGCATAAGGGCACATTATTGCCATGCTCTTTTCATTTAGACCCTTATTTCAGCGCAAAATGTGATTCGTTAATTCTGCAGTTCAAGTAAACCAGAAATAGAGTTTATCATAACTTTAGCCAAGAACTGAATGTTTTACCCAAAAAGCGTTGTGTTGCATAAAAATCGGTTGACTCGTTCAAAAGTTCTTGTTTCTTAAAGATTTTCTTCCAAATTACCTAAATTATTTATAGCTCGCGACAACCCTCAAATCAAACCTTTTGTGTTTGTTTTGACGTAGTGTAGGGTATAGTGACAAACGATTCGTTTTTAAATTTCAATTTTCCAAAAGTAGATGTTTTACAAAGGTTTAAAAGCAGAAAGTTGCTGACATCTAGTGAGCATATTCCTGTAAAAGTTCGATGGTGAAATTCTAGCGGAAGTTAATACTAAAACTATTGGCGTGAACCAATATTTGGTTTTCTCCAAGGTTTTGATCTGGCTGGTTTCTCTTCTGAAACCCTTATAAATTGAATAAGTTTTTTTAATTTGGCTCCACCTTTTTAGTCAAAAGTATCTTAATAATGTTATTGTAAATACATTGTCGGCACGATAAGAATAATCAACAATAAATATTTGGAATAGAATAGGCGTGCTACTTTGCTGAAACAAACTTGCGCTGTGAAATATTCTCTAGATTCTGCATACTGAATCCGAGCTTTGTATGTTTTATGGGTTTATGAGACATCAGCGTTCATACGGACGGCTTTTGGTGGTTTGTGGGCGTTTGAGTGGACGTGGCACCCTTTTAAAGAAAACTTTTGATGCGCAGAATCTAGTGCTTAATCTCAACATTTTAACATTTTAGATTTTATAGACTCCGAGTTCACAGACGGACTCTACGAATAACAGGTATACAAATAAGTATTGCAGAGCCACAAATTTTAAAATTTGAGTTGCAGCACACAACTTAGCAATTTTTTTTTTAGGCAAATAATAAATAATAAAAAGTAATAAATCAAAAGTTAGAAAATAAAACATAGCTCAGCCAAATTGGTTTAGCAAAGCGTGAAATATTAATAAAAATACGGAGAAATTTCCTAAAGAAATATTAAAAAAAACGTATCTATACCAAAATTGGTTGTCCATTGGCTTTTGCTGTATTTGGATGTATACTTTTTAAACCATAATGAATTTTTAACTTACCAATTGTAAACAATCGTGGTTCTAAAGTTGTACAAAATGTATTGCCATCCATTAATCCAATTTGTGCATTTGCTGGTTGGTGCCTCAACAGATGTTTCTTCGGAGGTATTATGTCAGCGAGAACATCTTTATGTGGATCCATAACTTCAGAAACCGACTTTAACTGCATGGTTCCAATGTGCTTTAACAGTACCATAGACTCTTCTCTGACAATTGCGTTGGGGCTTGTTATATGCCGCACTAATTCGTGAATAACTTCATAGGTGGCTTTGATTTGTAAGTCTTTTAGCTCTTCATTGTTATAACATTCATTTATCGGGCTTAAGCAAATTTCTAACATGCTTTTTATATAGCTTTTTGTTATTTCGATAGCGCCGTTAGAAACATCTCCTTCTAAATCCATTAGGATAAACATAAAAGCTTTCAAAAAATTAAAAAGATTTTGAAAAAGGGCACGTAGAGACATATGTTTACATAAAAATTGAATAGCTTGGCAACCGCCTACTTTAGAGTACCAAGGGCGGTCATAACATAAAGATATCATTTTTTCTGATAAATACTGTATGATAGGCAATTTACATGCTCTTTCTTTATTTCCCATTATGTTTGTTGCAGTGTCAAGTATAATACCCATGCATGCTATCCCCGGTTTACATAATTCCTTTTCTTCATGTCCCATGCAAGAGGCTAATGCGTCAATTAATACCATGGGGTCAACTCCATTTGTAGCTTGATATCCCTTCTGTGGAAAAGGTCCTGCCTGTTGTGCAATAGCTACCATGGTATAATGTCTTACAACAGCTGCCATTACTGGACACACAGAGTCTCGCAAGTCCTTTGTAGCTGATGCAACTAGCATTCCTACAAGCGCAGTCTGATGAGTTAATCTAACAGTTTCATCTTCAACTTTGTGCTGAAATGTAGACCAATTCATAATTTTATTTTCAACAAAATCCACATGACTAAAAAGTTTTAGAAGTATATGTTTTTCATCATCCAAACTAATAAACGCAGCTAAGAAACATCGAATTACTTCCCAGCTCTGTCGTCTATAAAACTGGTCAGTAGAATTTGATCCCAGTGCTCTAAGTGCTGATTTAATAGCCTCATCAACAGGAAAATCAATTGGTATTTCATATTCTTGAAAATATGTTACAATTGAAATAGTGGGGTTTTCAGTCCGATAATAGGATAAAGTTTGTGGCTCAACCATCATCTTTCGATTCCCGCCTCCGAATTTCCCAAGAACGCGAAAAGCAACTAAAGCAGCATTGTCCTGATTTCTTAAGGTTTTCCACAAAGCTTGCATCAAAGCTGCTCTTACTGGTTGTATATGATCATACAAAAAGTCCGGCTGCAAATTATCAACGCAGAGCTCCAATGTTCGCAAGCCCTAAAATAAAAAAGGATATGATAAAAGTTAAAGTATTGCTTGTGCGTTTTGAAAGGAAGAACACTATAGTCGAGTGCCTCGACTATCAGATTACTCAGCTAAAAGAAGCAGAAGGAAGATGGTGATATGCAACCAGCAAAGCGAGATTGTAAAGCGACATCTACATGCGACTTTAATAAACGGTAATTTAGATTCAAGCGTAATGGGCTTTTGTGGACGTTAATTTAAAAAATGTACACAGGCGGATTTCATTTTTGCAAACAAGGCTTACGCGAATAGGAATCTATTTTTACTTTGCCTTTCTCTCTTTCACTTGCTCTATCGCTCCCGAAACTCCGAGATGCCAAGAAGTCAAAATTCAAAATTTGGCTCATTCGTCAATTCTTGAATCATGTTGACGAAAAAGAATCGTCCTAAAAGGCACATTGCTCTTAACAATTATAAAAGGTCTGTGGCGCATTCCGTAAGTGGCTCGCGGATAATGGGCTCGAGGTTCAATTCCACTCTGAGGCTGGACTTTCTTTTAATACTTTATATATTTTTTCTCTTTTCCAGCTGTATTATTACTATTATTATTTTTTATACCCTTGCAGCGGGTGTTATGATTGCAATTAGAAGTTTAGCTGAAGTTTGCTGAAGAACTTGTGAGATGGTTCCAAATTCGCCTAGCTGGGGCAACCGAGCGGGTCGCAGGTTGCGGATGGCGGAAGACCTCACTCGAGGTCAATTGTGAATAAGCTGGTGGGGGAAGTCAAACACGGAATCGTGAACGGAAACCCCAGTAAATAAACAGTCCCGGACAGCCAGCGGGTATCCTGCAACGAAGCAATACCGACGATGCGCATCTAAATAGTTGCTTTACACAAACCCCCTACAGACAACACAACACCTACCCATCTCCCTTCCCAAAACAACATCTTACTCCGGGCCGAACTACGGTGTAATACGGACCGTGCCAAGAGTCAGCCTGGCTGGGGGCCCGGATCAAAAACTAGCCCTGTCCCAAACGGTGTGCTCAGGGACACGGCGACCCCCTGTTCTAACTATCGCCTTACCCGGGCATCGCGGATCTCTTCCCGGCGGACCTTTCCCTTCTCCGCAACTCGTGGGACCAACTATGGACAACAAGACTAACACACAACAGAAAACAGGGACGGGAACTCTTAAAAGCCCACGGAAATGTCGAACACTGGTTCCAACATCCGCACCAGCACGGTCCTGAAAGGGCCGCATCCCAAACTGGGGATGACGGGTTGCAGAAAGCCAGCCGCAAACGCCTCCGCCACGGGAGCTACACCTTCGCCTGAATGGCTAAAGAACCATCGGACCATCGGCGAAGAGATCCAAAATCCAGCCATCGGTCTCTTTCGCCGAAATTATCAAGGACCGAGTCTTACTCGGTCTCATAGACAAGGGCAATTCGGAGCGCAGGATTCCCAGGAACAAGTGGAAGGCAATGGAGTCCCACCTTTCCCTCATTTGCATGCGCATGGTGCGGCAGAAGCCAGGCACATCGCCCTGCTGCATGGACGCGGGCTGGTACCAGGGCAGCGTCAAGGTGGTGGCCTGCGATAGTCAGCGGTCGGCTGACCTATACAAACAGGCGACGAGCAAGCTCTGTGAATTCTACGGACTAGAATGGTGTGATGTCCCCGGTAGGCCCCGAGCTCGGATTTTGGCCCCGAGCTCAGCAGCGATCAAGGCGCCGGAGGACAACATCTTCATGTTGCAAGAATGCAACCCGCACCTCCCCATGAAGGTCTGGAAAGTCGTCAAGCTGGAGGAGCATGAAGGGGATGTCAACCAGGCGGTGTTGGTCCTAAACAAGGAGTCAGTTGCTTCAATCGAGACTGCTCGAGGAGTACTGAACTTCGGGTTTAGTGCAATCCACATTAAGATCTACAAGGGCGACTCCACCACCGCTGAAAGTCCTGCCGGCAACCCAGCCAAGCAGGTGCTTGCTGAGGAGTTGGAGGCACCTGGTGGGCCGGAGGACGGATACTTTACCGATTCGTTGCTGAGCAGAGAGATGCGAGCGCTCGGAGGACGTAGACCTCAGCGACACAGAGGAGGACGACGTCACTGTGGTGGAGGAACCTTGGGTAGTAAAAGGCAAGGTTGCTGGACTAGGAACAAAGGAATACAAGCTTATGCTTGACCCCAAAGAAGGTAAAATTCGAACCTGCATATTAGCCAAAAGGCATCTTAGCATATTTCTGCTTCGCAATTACAGTAACGGAGATAACACAGCAGTAAGCCTGGAGCTGCAAAGTGGCTCTATAAGGGTACTATCGGCCTACTTGGCCTTTGAAAAGAAAAACCTCCCAGATGCGCTGGCAGAGGAATGCGAGAAGCTCAGGAAAGGTTTGGTAACAGGCTGCGACTCCAACGCCCATCACACCCAGTGGGGTTGCCCAAACAACAACGACAAAGCTGAGTCTCTTTTTGATTTTATTCTAAATTCGAACCTATTCTTATGCAATAGGGGCAATGTCCCTACATTCATAACTAAAACTTGCCAAACGATCATAGATCTATCTTTGGTATCAGACTCACTCGTAGGCGCAGTCAAAAACTGTGCAGTCTTTGACGAGCACTTATTTTCAGACCATAGATTCATAGAAACCGTATTGTCCCTTGATTCTACCTTGCCGGTCAGCTTCGCTAACCCCAGACCAGCCGACTGGCACAGGTACAAAGAAGTTCTGACGAATATCCTCCCCATGGAACCGTCAGAAAGCATTACAAACTTACAGGAGCTGGACAGAGCAGTAGATAAATTCACAGAAGCACGGGCCGTTGGTATTCTCCACTCCAGGTCCAAAGTCTGTGGTTTCTCCTGAGGCATAAGGCACACGCAGGCGCCCGTTTCGCTGCTCTCGAAGTCTCCACTTTCTCACTCTCCAAGCTCTCATTCTCCAAACTCTCGTTTTCCCAATTCTTCAACTTCTCTTTCTTCAAACTCTCTCCTTCTTTAAACTCACTTTCTCCACCACTTTCCTTTCTCATTCTCCAAATTCTCTTTCTCCAAATTCTCTTATTCGCCACAATGCATATTTGCCGCTGAAATTTGTGGGGACTCCTCTAAGCGTATTGAGAGGGTTTTTTTTAGCAAAAATATTTAAGATAAGTCCAATGACGTAGGCCACATAATTCAATATGTGGGCAACCATCGGTTTTTGTATTCTTACCTATACCTGTAGGTTATGGAACAAAAGTTTTTTTGGGACTTTTACTCATGAGGATCCAATTATCGTGGAAAACTAGGAATGGCTTGCAGAACTTTCACAAAGTTCAATTTTGTGTTCCTGTGGAATTTTTAATTTTTTTTGTATCTGCCCACAGTTTTGGTTTATCGAAACCTTCTGATCAAAGTCCACTTTTTCTGCTAGCGTCGCTCTCACCGCTAAAAACCCAAGTTATAAGAAAAATGCATTTTGTATGGTAACATCAGCTTAGAGGCAAACACATTTGAACGAAAGTACAAGAAATTAAGAAAATAAATTTAAAAAAATTGTATTAATAATTCAATATTTAATTTAAATCTAATAATAAAATCTTATACAACAACGGACAGAAGGTAACGGTTTGAGCTTCTAGATCTTTTATTATTGTATGGAATTGAAGCTTGTTCTGAAACTGTCGCATACCATTGTCAAATTAATTTATGCTGACCGATGCAATTTGGTTGAAAACTGGAATTAAGACATTTGTAACGAACTGTTTTTTATGGTCTGCTCGCTACGAGATTCGTGCGGCTAGCTCAGTATATTGTGTGTTCGTCCCACCAAATTTATATTAACGTGACCGCCCAGTAGCTCAGTGAGAAAGCACAGAATTCACGGGTTCGTATTGGGTTTTATTGCGGGTATATTATTACAAGTGTCTTAGTCGCTTGGTTGGCCTTGACTCATTGCTTGTGACCTTCGGTGCTTCCGACGATCCTGTATGACCCGACGACCTCTCGCCTTGATGACTCGGTGCTCCAGTCCTGTAGCTCCCTGAAGATACTCGCAGCTCCCTGAAGATCCTCGCCGCTCCCTGAAGATCCTCGCAGCTCCCTGAAGACGCTCGCTCGCTGTTCACTTCTCACGCGTGACTTGGTGACTGCTGGTAACGACTCGGAATCGCGAGGGGTATCGGCCGTACGGGCTTAGGGAAGCGTCACCGTTCTCAGACTAGGGTGAACAGAAGCTGCGCTCTCCAGGATCGCTCCTTTCGACACACCGCCACCTGTCCCTTGCTCTGTCCCGGATGGTCCCACTGGGGTTTCTGCTCAGCCCGCGCGGACAGTCAAGGCGGAACGCCAGGAAGCTGCCTCGCGCCTTACTTCGCTTCCACGCCTAGTGTAAACGAACGTTCCACCCTAGCCTCACCCTTTTGCTCTTTGTCCGGGACGTTTCCGTGTGGCTTTTGGTACTCGGGGTTCGGGCACGCCGCTCCGGGACCTCGCAAGTCGAATCCGTAGGGCTCTCCTGGACAATTCCACTCGAGACCTTACCGATAGACCGCTCTCCCTTCTGGCTTGTTATACTCTTTCCAGGCGTAACGCCAGGACTTTGTGGACAGGGTTAATCGACCGCCTTGACCTAGCCGTGTGATGCCCTCTGGATCTCAGCTACCTGCGTCTCAATTCGGAGATTCCTGGTATCCCAATCCCGAGCGTCTCGACGTAGCAATCTCGCTCCTTGTAGGCTCCCACGGCGCTGCTTCTCTGGCGACTCGACTTGCTGCTGCTCCCTTGTAGATTATCTGGTTGTTTGATTGTTCACTTTGGTATCTGAGTGATCTTGACGGTTTGACTCCTTGTGATCGACTGATCCAGCTGCCAGCGCTCTGCGGCCTTATATAGGGCCTCCGGGAACCGTTATTTCTCTTTTGCGCACGGCCCGCTGGATCTCTCCGCTCTGGGTCCAAAGTCCGTGCCTCCTGGATGACCCACTTGTCGTTCCCGTACCGCTTCCAATCGATGCTCCGCCCACTGCTGCCATCCCGCTGAT